TTTTTTTTTTTTTTGTTTCCCCAGTGAGTTAAGGTCATAAACCTTATGCAAAAAGAATATTACCAGGGTTGGTTCTGATGGATATCTTTCACTCCCTGAAACACTTCCTATAAATTCTAGCAAAATGGTGTAGCTGAAGGATAATGGTAACTGCAGAAATTGCAGAAGAATGCACACAAGTGATCCATACAAGAAAACACACACGAGTGATTCCAAGTCTAAGCAGCAGGCAATAAAGACAGTTTGCATGTTTCACCACAGGCTGCTTGATGAGACTTCCCTAATTATGTTTATTAGGAATAGTTTCCAAGAAGGATTTTGTTCTTTTAAATGCTACCATTCAAAAGCTATCAACCATGAAATCACATACTTCTTGCATATATTTGCAGTTTTCACAGAGGGTGTAGGACTACTTCCAGGATCTGCCTGAAAAGTATCACTGTTACAGGTTTGAACTACAGATTAGGCACAAATCAGAGGACTTAAAGGAGCGTGTGTATACTGTGTAATTTGCAAAGTACTGAGTAAAAGACATCACTTTCCAATAACACTTGTAAGTGCAGCATTTAAATATGTCAGGAACAGAATATACCTTTGTAAAATTAAAAACAAACTAGATCCAGCAGCAGCAGTGATTTTGAAGCTAATAAGGCATTCAGGGAGCTTTAAGAAAATCAAATATATTCTAGTGCCTTGAAATTTCTCATCCACTCATTGCTTGAAAGTCATATTGCCAAAGCATCATGAATTCTACTAACAGGGTTTTTTCCTCTTTCAACAAAGTAGCAAGACATGTAGCATTCTATTTTTAAACTTTTCTGAGTCAGGCAAGATTTCTTTCCCTGGGTAAAGGAAGAAGAGAAGAACTACAAAGGTATTGATCTTATTTACTCCCATACGTATTGACAAAATTGCTAGAGTAGGGTTCATTTTGTAGCATTATAAAATCCTCAAGAGAATTAAATTTCTCCCACACCTTGTCCCCAAAATATTTTTGCAGGAAAAGGTACGAATTATTTACAGAAGGAATTGCCAATAAAATGTCATCAAACTGCATCTGTTACAGAAGATAAACATTCCTCCAATTTTCTACATTAGGCTTCTAGCTGAAATTGAGATCTACAGCTAAAAGACTTATACCCTTATAGTAAGTTAAAAGTTCCTTAATTATTGTGTTGCAAGTGGGGAGCACTGTTGCAAACACATTAGAGAATTAAAAGAACAAAATTCACCCCTGAAGAAATTCAATGGAGACAGCTGGATTGCCTCAAGGAAAGCCTGACCCACAGGTATTTTCCTTAGAAGATTGTAAAGTATTCTATGTAACATTCTTCTGTATTTAGTGGCCAATAATCTACACTATTGTCATAAGCTCACGTGACAGTCAAAAAGATGTCTCTGAAATAGAAGTGGCAAATTCAGGAAGTTCAAGTGTTACGGAACAGCCATAAATCAAGAACTGAAACATGGACAGCCATAAAGCCCCACAACACGTAAATCCGTCTCAAGTGTAAACTGCACCTGCGGCTCAGGACAATTACTGGGACACCTGCCCATGCTGAGTACTTCTAGGAGCCCAGGCAGAAGCAAATTTCACCCCTGACAAAGCAGCTGAAAACAAAAAGCAGCTAAAGCTCAGGTACTGTTACCATACTATGTTTTTGTTACTGCAAATCCTCCTTTTGAGGGTGCTGGACCCTTGCTTCCAGAGGTGTGAGAGACAGGTAATTCCAGATAGCAAGAGAATGTAACAGCACTGATTTTGTATCCCAGCTTTGATTTCTTATGTTGGGTACCTTGATGCTTAAGCCCCCTGAATTAATGGACATTTCAGAACTGCATCATTTCTTTCTTCCTTTGCCACCTAACTGTAACAAATTGTTCCTGATTCTGCATAGGAGTTGCGAAAAACATTCTCCTTTATGTAAAGCACAGCAAATCCCATGAAAAAGTTAGAAACATGGATTTCAACAGTATGATAAACAGTGCTAGAGAACACAGATTTAATTACAAAGATCAAAACCAACAAACAGCAACACTGCCCTTCCTCTCACACCTGAACCACCCACACAAGGCAGTCCTTGTTTCTAATCTCTAGTCACAAGTAGTCTTAAGTCTGAGAAGTAGTTCAAGCAGTTTTAAAATTTAAAATTTCCTCTGATAAATTTAATTCTGCTGAAGGTTACTGTTGCACACACACCCCTCTGCTGGCTTTGCACAGTCCAGAACTTTGTATTTACCATCCTGAATTGTCAGATACATTCAAGTGCCAGATTGCACTGTAGAGGCAGTAGCTATTTTATTCCACTGACTGTGAAGACACTAATCTCTGAGAGAGCAGTAGCTTCTTTACCCAGACAGATAAATTTACTACAACTTTGTCTCATAATGCCTCAAGTGACACAGATTCCCAGAAGAAAATAAGCTTTGACTGGGATATTAAGGAGTAAATAACACCTCTACAAAGACACACCTTCCAGAGATGTAGCATTTTCTGATTCAAGCACATACCCATCCACAAGTTAGCTTTTTTCCAGACCTGCAGATATATTCACTTTGAGAAGTGAGACCAAATCAGAGAAACAACAGGAACTGGTGTGGAAACAGCAAATTTCTGAGAATATTGTTCTGTAATTTAGATGCATGAGCTACACATGTTACTCAGAAATTAATTTTAAAACAATCTGGGAAGCAAGGCTTGACACTGGGAGCAGAGGTGAAAAGAGATATTTAGATTCCTGTGTGTACCATTTCCCTCAATATGTACTTTTTGATGGTGAGATCAGTCAATGCTTATTAAATAATTCATAGCATCACTGTCCTGATTTCAGCTGGAATGAGTTAATTTTCCTCCCAGTTGCTGTGATTTGGACTCACTATGAGAACGCTGATGACGCACGGGTGTTGTAGGTGTTGCTCAGTAGTGCTCACTCCAAACTGAGACATTTCAGTGCTCTGCCAGTGAGCAGGTACACCAGAAGCTGAGGGGGAGCAGGGCAAAGGGATATTCCATACCCTAAAAGGTCATGCCCAGTATATAAACTGGTGGAATCAACTGGGAGCTGCCAATTGCTGCTCAGGGCTGGGCTGGGCCTCAGCCAGCACATGTGCACCACTTGTTTTTCTGGGGTTTTACTTCTCTCCCTTTCTTTGCTCTCCTTTTTAATTTCAATGGTTATCATATTTTATTTCAATTATTAAACAGTCCTTAGCCCACAGGTTTTATATTTTTTCTGATTCTCTTCCCCTTTTATGTCATGGGGGTACATAAGCAAGCAACTACATGGTACTTAGCTTCTGGCTGGGGTTAAACCGTGACAATCACAACTTGCATATGTGTAATATTGTATACTGGCTTTCAGGAACTGCATTACCTGGAAAATTACTTCTATTTTTATTCACAAAGAATCTGTTTGTCTTTGATGATGTCCTGAAAGGGGCTCATTAAATTACTAATGTAACTATTAAAGCTATTAAATTACCAATTTTGAGGGATCAATTCAAAGCACATTGAGACAAGCATAAATCCAAAGTAAACCAAGTGTCTCTTCACTTCATTGACCCTCCTATGAGGCTCTGAATGCTAAAATGTCTTTCTCCTGACAAGATTAACCCCTTCATTGTATAATCCTCCCTGGCCAAAACAGTGGAAGTAGCTACTCCTAGGGCTCACAAAATGCTCTGCTTGGTAGTACACAATGATGTGGGGAGGAGGAATGCTTGGTTTGTGTTTACTTTTAGAGCCCAGGGGGGAGATAGCTCCCTAAGCTTCCTGACAAGATGTTTATTTTTATTCACATTGTCACTATGTTTTCCCATGAACAAATATTTATACTTCAGAGGAAATGTTTCAGTAACATGTTTCAGACAGGATAAGCCATGTTAACTTCCCTTCCTTTTATTATGAGAAAGCAATTTTGCTTACTGGAGGAAGTAAATAAATCAATTCCCCAGAGATGCCTGGGAAGGGGTAATTCTTGCAGGGAACCCATCTTGAAAATACTGGCAGCATGACATTAGGTCAGTGCTAGCTGACCTGTGGAGGTTTCATTTGCAATTGCAAGAAATGAACACATCAGAGATTTATTGTTTCCTTTGTTCAGAGAAACAGACCATTCTTGTGCAATCCTGTCTTAATTAAAACATTCTCCCTTCTGACAAATTTTAGTAGCATCTTTAGTAGCATCTGCATTATTATAATGTACATTTAATACATATGGAAAGCTATGAATCCATCTTTTGTTAATACATCTGAACATATAACAGACTGAGAAGGCCAGTGGATGAAAATGACCTAATTTCATTGACTATTCCAAACTGTGAGCAGACGGTTTGACTCTATGATCTCCTGAGGTTCCTTACAACCTGAATTTTCCCACAATCCTAAATTAACGACATGTATTTGGTTTAACTAACTTACATATTTACTGCAGAAACTGTGAAGATCTGGCTGTGATACTTGACAAAAGCAACATAAATATACACCTGTAACTCAGGCTGGCAAAAGCCCCACTTTTCCCTAGTCTGCCTAAAGCAAGAACTCAGAAAGCTGCCTGGATGCATGGAAAAGTACCTACACGTTTGTGGTGCAAACTCTTCCTTCATCCCAGGATCTCACTCATTTCCTGCACCTGCAGTTAGTCTGTGTGAGTATTCACTCTTAAAAATCAGACTTTGCAGCTTCCGTTCTCTGATGCTTGGAAAAAAGCTTGACATTGGGTCAAAAGCTACTCTGTGCAGCAGCTGCTCATTACCAACCCTGCAACACCAACATTTGTTTTTATCTGCAGGAATATCAGAACAAAGCTGACTAATCCTGTAAATGAAACTATTATTTGTAGGACCTTTCAGTTAAGACTTTTGGTACAAAGTTTGCCAAGACACAGATGTTATAAGTCTAAAATACTTGACAAACAGCTGCTGGTCAGAAGAGCAGTGGTGACAGGCAACATTAAGTGAAACAAGTCAGGGTTTTTTTACTTCTTCCAGTTGATACTTACCTCACAGGAGAAAATGTTCACATCCATTTTTAGCAGCTTGATCAAAAGCAGAATTTCATTAAAAATACTTCATGTCTTTCTCTTAACGTGGCACTCCTAAGGAGAAAAAAAAAAGAAAAAAACAAAGAAAATAATAAACTTTACTATTTTCAACCTAAAATTACAACATATGCAACAGCAACAACATCTTTTATGATGCATTTTATATTGTAAAACAGACCTGCTTGGTCAATAAAACAGTCTTTTGAAGTTTCAAACAGGTAAACTGTGTATCTTCACTAAAACACTCTTTGCTCCAATGCAGTGAAGAAATCATGCGTAGATTGATGAGCTTTTGGGCATAACTGGAGATTGACAGAACTCTGTCAAATTAAGCTTGTTCATGAATAATTTCCCTATGGATTTAGATTAAGAAAAAAACCAAACCACCTTAGGTGTCAGAACCTAACACTGCTGTATCCCAGTTAACCAGCTCCTCTCTCTTAGGCAACAGACTGAGGAGGGATTTTTTGGCTACCTTCAAGGTGACAAGACTCTAAAATATGAGCTGACAGCCTGATGACATATGAACTGGGAATTCTGTGTGGCTTCCCTCCTTTGGTAACAAATGAAATTAACTATGAAAGTCCTTCATTGGGTTTGGTAAATGCCTACTTTATTGTGGCTTGGTTTCCATCCAGGAGCAAGGTGGAGGTTTTCCAAGAACCAAAGGTGGGAACAACATTGATTTCACCACAGATGCTGCCCTAAAAGCAAAGCTCAGGGGCACGAGTAGGTTTCAGAGGTTCAGGCTAGTTTGAATAGCAGCAGTGAAATGCAGTCTTCAAATGAACAGAGCAGTGGCCCACTGGTTACTTCTCCCTTCTTATCAGGATAATTTCAGAGCTGAATTTAGGACTGAAGTTAATTTCTCACAGAAATTACAACCTTCTGTAGATACCCAGCACAACACAACAGAGAAAACAAACACAAACAGAAAACGAAGGAACACTTTATTCCACCTTTGTGAAATAGACAAGCCACAAGAATTGACACTAGAGCTAGAGGCATGATGTTTATGTCCTCTAAGTGTCCTGCCCTTCCCTTTGCTACTTATCAATAAGCCTTTTAGTGGCAAAGACACATCAGTGTTCCTGAACTGCCATGTTTCATGCAGCCACTACTGTGGAGAATCTTCTCACCATCTTTTCTACTGTGCTCACCCTTACTTCCTCCAAGGCAGGCCCACACAGCTCCCTTCCTAAGCCCTAGAAATAACAGCCTAAACCCACAATTAAACAGCTCCCCAAATTATTAATTAGTGACATTAGCATACTCAGGGCTCTAAAACTGTTTAAATAGATACCTTATGTGATACTGTACCATTTGTAACTGTATTTGTTTCTCAAGTATTGATGGCAGATTAGAAGTTACTTGCAGCTTCTTTCAGAACATTTCTTTTCAAAAAAACCAAACTAAAAAAGGGCATCTGGTTTATCTGATCAAAAACCCAGAGCATTCTATGTTTTTACTTTACTGAGATCTCATTTGCTTCTAACAGCCTTTCTCTGTTCACCCTCATTAAAATCTACAGACATGACCTCCAAGGATATATCAAGATCCTTCTTACTCTCAAACAGACATATAAAGCCCTTCCACAGCTCATTCACAATTCTTTTTCATCAATCAATAATCATTTACATTATTGTCCTATTAAAGGCCACATTAAGACTCTCCTGCTTGCTGAGATATTTTTTACATTGTTATGCTGTAAAGCGAGACCAGGTGTTTGAAGAATGTAAGCAGATAGAAATGTAGCTAAACCTGATTTTCATCATTACTAAAGCATAAGCCTAAAAGTTCCACTTCACAGATAAAAGTTTATGGCCTTCATCTCCCTACCCCTCAGTCTTCCACTTCTGGTTTTGAAGATAGCTGAGTTTTTAATTAGCACTGTTCTACTCTATTACAACTCCGAAACACAAACATCTCTCATACCACGGTAGTGGAGGCAGATGTCTCTCTGTGATGATGATCTGCACTCAGAGGAACAGAGCAGCTAAACCTTACATGCACCTTCCTTACCAGTCTCGAGGAGCTCACAGCTGAGAAGAGAGCTGCCTTGCTGTGACCCTCATGTGCCTGCAGAGAAAGCATCAGTTCTGGTCGTGGCAGTGCACTTCCTTCTCTCTCCCATCAGCTCTGCGCCCAGGCAGGCAGCACCTGAACCAATGCTCACCCACAACAACAAGCACACCGTGATACCGTGTGCAGGGCATGCAGCAAGGTCACCGTGGGCTGAGGAAACTAAAACCTGCTGGAACACAGAGTAATTCACTGATTGAGGTACCTGCATGGTGTAATTCTCCAAAGTGGGGAATTTCTTTTAAAAAGGCAGGAAGGTGAGGAACAGGAACACCCACTACAGGTTGGCAAGTGAAACATTTGCAGTGCAAACCGGGCCCAGAAGGATCTCAGAGGAGGCCAGGTGGAACACTGGGCTCCCTGGATGACTCCTTGTGGCCAACAGTCATGTCTAATCTGATTTAGAAGCCTCTTCTGTGACAGACAAGACATTCCTCATACACACTGACACTAAGAAAACTCAAGAAATCTCAGCCCAGTTTTTCCCTCAAATGCACCTCAGCTTCTTGTTCAGAAGCCTTAGCTGATCCAGTCTTTGCCCGTTTCCTGTTTTGTTTGGGTTGTTGGGGATTTTTCTTATTATTATTACCAAACAAACAATACTGCAGAATTTTATCCTCTCAAGTTTTTTTACGAGTTTCCTTTAACTAGCCCATCGTCTCTGTGCATTGGTTTCAGTTTCTGTAACACCACAAATTCACAGTACATCTGCCCCGAATCTCTTCAACAAACCTTGAGGGACTACATGGAAGAAAAGTGCTTTTAAACCCTATGTTTCTGACTTACTTAATATGGTTTCACTTCAAAATTTTGCCTTTAAAAGCTCAATACTGTGAGAAACTTAAGCAAAAGAAAGAGCAGAACCTTAGTTCACTGTTGTAATCTTTACTATGACACACCTCACTTGCTCTGTGTTACATGGTTGAACAGACAGTAGAAATGTTACTTCCCATTGATACCTAAACCAACATTTCCTCTCAACATACATTCAAACCTTTAATGTTGTTGGATCCATAGCAAATGCAAGTATTTTGCCCTTTCTATTTCAGTTTTGACAAGTATGTTTTTTAATGGGGTCTCTCAGAGAAAAAAGGAACTTTTTCCTGTATTGATTACACAGACAACAACATGAAGCATGACACAAATATTTCCATTTAACTAAGTACAAATGACAACATTTGGTATGAACTTGACAGCCAGGTTCTAAAAGAAGATGGGATATTATGATTGCCACTAGCCCTATCTTAAGGGGACCCCCAACAACTCAGTTAAACAGCTGCTAAACGAAAGTGCAAGTAACTCTAAAGCTCTACTTTCCTATGCTCCCCAAGTAGGGAAAAGGTTTTCCCTTTTCTCATTCCTTTTTTCCAAGAGCTGCAGTAGAGTTGGGCTAGGTATGCCCAACTGCTTCTCCCCAGAGGTTCTCAACAACTGTAAAGAAGAGAAAGAGCTCTTGAAAGTCATTCCCCTGCTAGGTCTTTTAGGGAGGCACGTCCTTCTTTATAACCAGCTCCTCTTGTATTCAGTTCTCTACATGTATTTGCACTCTGTACCAATTACAAATTTCATTCTTGTAATGCAGAGGACCATTAATAATTTAAGATTAAAAAGGAACCTAAGGGCAGGAATATTCCATTTTTGCTCACGAGATAGATGGTACGCTGCTAGTATGTCAACTCAAGTTATCTTTGTGCATGCTACGTTAATTCAGCAAATTGCTTTTCAAACAAAGTGCATGCAGAAAGTGCCTGGAGATTCTACACGAGAAGAAAGTTTCATTTCTATACCAAATGTGCCAAACCCATACCCAGAAAGTGAAATATAAACAGATTTTAGTTTCGTTCATTTAGTTTTCACAAACAGGAGTTAGCCCAGATGAATTCTGTGAAGAAGCCCAATGCAAGAGCACGCAAAAGTCATGCCAGGTGTAGCGATAAATACCCAGCCCTGCCTGCACCGTGAGAAACCGGAGGATCAGCGAACACGTCTAACGGTATGGAACGGCTCAGGAGCGATGCAGCAGCAGCACCGCCTGACACCCGAGTGAGCTGTCAGCATTTCTGACCTTACCGCGGAAGGGAACGGGACATCAGGGCACGGCGGGCAGGTGCGGAGACCCTCCTGGGGCAGGAGCCGGCCCGGAACGGGGAGCGCTCCCGGCCCGCCGGTCGCAGCCCCGCGGTGCCCCAGCCGCCCGCCGCTCCTTCCTCCGCCGCAGCTTCCCGCCGCGTCCGGCCCCGCTGGGTCACCCGCAGCGACCGGCGGCGGCGTCTGCCTGTCCCGCGCCCGCCACCGGGGCCGCAGCGTCTCACCTGAGGGCGGAGCGGGACCGGCTGGGGACAGGACAGAAGTGACGCTCAGCGGGGTGCGGAGGGCGGTGCGGTGTCTCGGGTGCGGTGCCGTCCCGCCCTGCTGTGCCGTGCCGTTCTGTTCTCTGCCGTTCTGTGCCGTGCCCAGCGCGGAGCGGGCGCGCGCGTCCCAGCCAACCAGCGCCGTCACGTGAGCGCGCCCCGGCACGCGGCGCTGCCGCCGCGGCCGTTACAGCAGCGCGTGCGCGGCGGCGGCGGGAAGCGCGCGCGCTGCCCTGCCCTGCTCTGAGGGGCCGGGGGTCGCCGCGCCCCTCACGGGGCTCTGGGGCGGCCGACGGCGGCGCGGTCGCCCTTCCTGCCCTCGGGAGAGATCGTTTCCAGGAATTGAGGGGCTGCGGAGGCAGGAAATCCTGCGGGGCCCCGTGCGGGGAGCGGCCGCAATGGCATCACCTCCGTGCGCGGGAGGGTGGGGTCCCCAGCCGCCTCCTCCCTGCTCCGTGTGAGCGTCCGCACGACGAAATGTGGATCAAGGTGTGTGAGCCTCCCTGAACTGTGAATGCTCCTGTGTTTAACATTGCTGACGAGTAAATCCCACCGCACTGCTCGCCTCAGTTTACCCACACAGAACTTTCATGCTGAATCTTAGTTAAAAAAACCCCAAACCGTTGAGCTTGTTTTCCGCCCAGGATGCTTTCCACGTACACTGCCCTCAGGGTGTCTGACCTCGCTATCAATAATACGCTAAGAGAAGTCTTTAAAGAGAACAATAGCGGGACACCGTAAGTAATCCAGCTCCGTCAGGCACTTAAAACTGTTCTAGAACATACTGCTGAAATGCTTAGGTAAATTTGACGAACGGCTCAGAAGCCTGGAGTTAAAGGAATTTTCTGCTTACTCAGGGTGTTGGACTCAATTTTCCAGCCTGGGTCGCCCTGTGCTGTTGAGGAGGATTTGGGAGGACTGTGGGGGCCAGGCACTCAGCCCGTGTGGCAGTGCTTGACGCCGGCGATGTTTAATGGTGGTCGCGGGCAGTTTCTGACAGCACAGCCCTTCCGAAAGGGGAAGGCTAAGACACCGGGCCTAGGGACAGCAGGAGCCGGCAGTATTGCAGGTAGAGAGGCAGGCCGGGCTTGCGGCCAAAGTGCTCTCTATCTCCATGGCAGAGATCAGGCATTCTGTGCAGAGCTAATGAACCTAGCCCCTATATCACGAAATCCGTAAGAGAAGCAGGGTTCGTTGGATCTTCTTTCTTCTTTTGATGATTTTCATTTCATGTGCTTCCCTGTGGAGTTGTGAAGGCTTGAAATGTACCTGCTGTATACTGTATGAATAGTGCAATATACGTGCATGCTGTCTCAGGATGCTGAACTGTGCAGCAGGGGGAATTAGCCTGTGTAGAGCTCTGTGATGCCATGAACAGACTGCCTTCAGCACATAAATCAACTTTAGACTACTATCAAACACTAGCGTACCCTGTGTTTTACATTTATAAAAGAAATGTGGGAGAATGATTGCAGGATTTCAGGAGCTGCGCTTTTAAAATAAATGGCACTTGTATTGTGAACCCCTCGTTAAGTGGACAGAAACTGTTAGCAACGTGGCTAAATGTAAAGTTTTGAATAAATGACTGAAAGATAATGACCTTTGTTGCATATGTGGTACCAAGGACAAAGAAAGATTGCTAGGCCACAGTTACTCCCCAGAATTGGAAGGATTGTTTTATTTGGGAAGAATTTATACAGAGTCCTGGTAACTCATATTTAAAGCCCCAACCAGGAAGCCTCCACAGTATTTGCGTGCAGAATTGTATAGTTGTGCAATTTCACTCTGTACAAACAAACTGTCTAAATTCCTGTAATTTGTGCTGGAAACACACTATCATTTCCAAGGCAATTGGAGCAGACAGCTGAGCTCACAAGGGTTATCATCTGCATCTGCTCAGAGGACAGCCCCCAACCTTGTATTGGCTAATATTTTTAGCTTTGCTAACTAAACCCACATGAGATAAAAGTCCACCCACGCAACAGGTTATATAGTTTGCTTTAAATCAGCTGTGTTTTGTGAGCACTGAGTGGTTTGATTCTGTTTCATGTGTTTCCTTCAGCACTTCAAAATGAATTTAGGTTGTTTGAAAGATTGACTAACAATTCTAGAAATTGACCTCTCGTGTTGAGTCTCAGACTGAGTCCAACACAAGTCAGCCTCTCAGCTGTATCGGAGAGGAAACTTTGTTAGTCTGAGGATAGTCTTATTTATTTACTTTCTCATGCCAGCAAAGGCAGGATTTCCTGTTTTTTCACTGATCTATAGTTACTGGGTGTAGGATATTTTCATTACTTTAAAATTATACCTTGGATACTAAGACTGTATGTTTAATCAGGGGAAAAAATGTGTAAGTATTTAGTAAATAATTTGCCCTTTAAGGTATGATAATTCCATTTCAGGCTTAAATTAATTAGGCAGTAGTATGGAAAGGTAATGATCATCACAGAACACTTGCTCTCTTTCCACCAACTTTCATTTATAGTCCTTATAGATTTTTGAAAAATTAATTTAGGGTTTTAATATTGTGCTTGTTTTTTGTGCAAAATTACAGATGTTGAATCTATAAGCAGAGATGGACTGCTATTATCGTTCAAAGTGCACATGGAATAGATGAGGAGAAGCTATGTAAGTTCTAGTCTCCCAGGAATGGAAGACAAAACAATTAATGAAATTTTCTGTTAAGAATAATTGTTGGCTGACAGTTGTGTAACTTTTATGACAATATCTCTTGAACCCAGACATAAGATAGACTGATACCAGTCATGATGTCAAGACTGTGATTTTTCTTTATTCACAGAAGATACTGAGGTGACAAAAATGTTTATGATTGTGAGTCTTTTCATTGCTACACAGTTATCAAGCTGCAGTTACATTAGTCTGACTAGAGTAGCTCCAGGTGACTCATGGCTTTCATTATATATCTGAGTTCTTAAAGGGTAAAAGATTTGGGAGAGGTTTTTTGTTTTGGTTTGTTTTTTTTTTTGTTTTGTTTTTTTTTTTTCCTACAGAAAAATGAAAAAAAAATCTGTTTTGTGATAGCAAGTGCATTTGTACTCTTCAGCACTCACTACGTGTTATAGGATGGAGGTAGACTGTGAGCTTTCTGGAAGTCCTCTCAGCTGTTTTCAACCAGTGCCTTGGAGCAATAGGAGTCGCTGACAGTGAATCAAGCACAGACCTTTGTGCTGTGGTGGAGCAGGGAGTGTTCATGTGTTCAGTTCTGCCAAGTGAACTGTGGTGACACAGAAGGTCATATGGGACATGGGGATGAGCAAGTCCCAGGCTTCCAGACAGGCTTGGAAGCCAATGGCTCATTATGCTACAATTTATTGAGATGTTTTTAATGTTTTATCCTCTATTGTCTTAGGGTTATGACTGTAGTTACTGTATCCCTTTATTGCCACACTGGTCTGGAACAGGCTTCAGACAGTGGCATCCTCTTGCTGAGTGTTCTCCTGCTCTGCCCACAGTCCCCAGCAGGCTGTGGCCAGCTCTGGCTTCCATTCCTATTCCCTGTCATTCAGTGTTGGGGCAGGTGGAGCTCCTGTTCTCCACATCTGTGTGTGGCAAAGATTGCACTGGCTTTGAAGTCTGCTTTGTCCTGAGAGACATCAGAATCACTGTCAGGAGCCTTCCTGAGGACTTTCAAAGCCTTTCTTAGAAGGCCTTATTAAAGCTTTAATACAACAAATCAGAGGAGTGAGAGGTTTTAGTTCTTCCCTATGAGGATTTGGCAAGTCCAAACCTAAAACATTATAAATAGTTCAGTGAGAGTTGTGAGCAGAACAAGAGTCAAATGAAACGTCAGGAGCTACGCTAGAACCTTCTGGTGGAGGTTTATCTCATCCTTATAGAGTGTTATAAAAATAATCTTATAAACGCTGGAGCAATCGCACCATGAATCACATTGTGTTCATACTAGACAAACCTACGTAAGACTGGCAGAGGTTTATCTGGGTAAAGATGCTGACTTGGAAGCTGTGAGAATGAAAATACTTCACTGGCAGACTGTTGTAATAGTGAAATATTTTATCCTGAGGAGAAATAGGTTGTGGAAATGTCAAATCTGTACTGTGCAAAAGTAACGCAGAGGGAATCCATTCCTGATTTTGGAAAGCCTATCTGAATCTGCCATTGCCTTGGGTTCCTAAATATCAGGTGTGAAGTGACAGCAGAGCGCCTGAGTTCTAGTGGTTCAAACAAATAAACATTTATTAACTCTCGTTTGATGGACAGTTCCTGTTTATCCAACATTGCTCAAAATCATGTCTTAATACAGTTTGTTCTTTTTAAAAAAAGGCTTATAACTAGCTTGGACAAGCCTTTGAAGAGTACACTCCAAAGAACACTGGAAAGAACAAGAATGACATGGAAGGAGGATAAAGACAAGCCTTTCCACTCATTTATTTTCACAGTTTTATTAAATGTAGTGAATATGTTTAGCCACACTGAACTAGTCTTCAGTAAAGCACAAAATTCATCAAGAAAAGCATGCATGACTTTGTAATTACCCAAAATTGATCCAGGAAAAAGAGATCATGAACTAATTTAGAGTGTTAAACTGTCTGGAGCTTATCCAACCTTATGTTCAGATGTAAAACTCTGGCAGTACAAGAACAGACCAAAATATTCCTACCCCATCCCACCTCCTTCCCTCCCCTCCCCTTCTTTTTCTACACTTATGACTACAGAGCTATTGGATGAATTTGCTGTGGGGAAGGAGAAGTGGCTAAGTCCCTCCATTTGTGTGTGCTCCTGCAAGGTAAGGGTTTGTGGCTATATAGTTCCCCTGTCTAGTCTGAATTGCAGAATTTAATCCCCACTTGAAACCCAGATGGATTGCAACACTGTGTAGTGTGTGTGGTTGCTTGCTCTGCCAAAACAGAGGATTTGCACCAATGTAGCTGCTTTCCTAACAAATCCTCTGTACAATGAGCCAAGACCTGTGATACCATGTAGGCTTAGTTCTCAGCAGCCTTTCACCATAACTTTTCACCATGCAGCAAATGTGAAGTGCTACCAGACTAGACCAGCACAGTTTTACCCTGCTTGGAAACAGCACAGTTTTACCCAGCTGTAACTCAAGGAGAGCAGGCCCTCTGTGAATTAACACTGTTTTGCTGAAAATGTGTATTGGATTTAATCCTATTGCTTGTTTGCTGGCACAAATTCTTTTGGTGGCCATGAGTTTCCAAGAAAAAGGATACAATTTTATCTCCCTTCCTAGGTTTAACACCATTCAAATGTCAAATTGTTTTGTGTGTTTCCACTCCTGATCTTGAAGTCTGGACCAGTGTAGAAGATAGAATGAGCACACCACCTCCAAATCCTTATCATCTAGGCCCAAACTCCTCTTGAGCACTGTGTGTGGGAATCTCTCACAGAGAGAGACTCAAAAAGCATATCTTTTTGTGATGATTTATGCATCAGTTCAAACATTGGTTGCTGTAAAAAGGTCCTTGTTTCTATCCTCACAAATACCACTTACAGTACCAAGGGACTTTGGCCAAAACTAGCCAGTCTATGTAACTACAGGAAAAACAGTGCCTTCTGATAGCTCAGATTATTATATGCCTGCAAAAATGGATGCACACATATATCTGAAATGTATCTGAAATCAATTTTGATAGTTCTCAAGCTGGT